GCTTTGCATCGGATTACGGGGCTGGTTGGGGAGTTGACGACCTACCTCGACTCGGAAGTTGCTGCGGGCGAAGGGGGGGAGAAGAGCTCGCCGAAGAGGGCTCTGTGGCCGAGGGATACGCCGTGTGCTGTTATTGAGCGGGCGAGTTGCCCTGATCAGAGGGTGATTCGGACGACGTTGGGGTATGTTGCTGAAGCCATTGAGGCTGAGGGGAGCAGGCCGCCTGGGCTTCTTGTTGTTGGCAGAGCGTGTGAGGCGTTGTACGAGCGAGAGAAGGGGAGGGCGTGGGCTGTTGAGGATGGATTCAAGGGGTTTGATTTCGAGGAGCTTCCTGGCTTGTCATGATACTTCCCAGTCCGTTTTTGGGCGTTTGGAAGGTTCTCCATTTGCTAATGAGCCACGGCTTCTGCGCCAGTAGTTTCATGATATCGGTTCATGCGCATACGGTTAGATAAGTACATTTAGGGAACGAGGCATTGCAAGGCGCACATAAATGTCAAAGCGAATTCAGTTCAAACTTTACCTCCTGTCTAATATACAAGCTTCAACACCAATAAGACACGGATTCTAATGCCTATCTGTGAAGATCCTGAGAGTTGCTTTCACGATGGCAACTAATCCTGGACTACGTGCGAACCCCTCGCAAACACAGACCTAATGCCAAACTCCAAATTCTCTGCAAAGTTCCATCTCAAGCATGTATGTGTCTCAAAACAAGTTCAAAGAGTTGGCTAAGAAGCCATGCTGCAGTGTTGTCAGCAATATTCCGGCACAGGGACTATTAGGGTAAGACTCGAGGAATCATGTACTTACCGAAGACTAGCGTGGAAGCGAAACGAACAATAACAACATGTGCGAATAATTTCGGCTGTATAGATCGCTTGTTCAGGAGCTCGAGTGCCCCATCGATTCCACCGTTGGCCGTTTCATGTCCACTGGTCCGGTTTTCGCTTAAGGGCAGGAACTGAGGCTCATCTTCATTGATTTCCTGTTCTCTTGCTTGAAGCTTGGCTTTGTCTTTGTAATAGTAAGTTGTGAAAAGTTCTTGATATGAAAATTGCTGTGACCCCTCCATGGCAGATGCCCCCATGCTGTCAAAGTGACCCGTTGCAACCCATTTTGGTCCTGGTGGGTTTGAGCTCGTAACAAAACAGCGAGCGAGGACTTGGTAGGCCCGTCTTCGATCTTTAGGTGTCAATGAACGGAGTATGTGGGCAAACAAATCGTTGATTTGCTCGGGAAGCTGGTTGACTTGTCGTATCAGACATTCTAGATCGTTACCATTCACAATCTGTTCCCGAGCATCTTTGACGACAAGGGCAGCCCAGAAGAAGATAACTTGTGCTTTCTCAACGATAACCTTGCTGACGGAGGAAAGCACCAACTTCTCACCAACATACAGAGCCATGTCTCGTTTGGTTAAGTCGTGAAGGTATATTGTCTGCTGTGGAGGGAACACCTCAGAGAAAGCGTTCAGCGGACGGCTGGCAACACCAATTTTGACTTCTCCAGATGTGAGGGAAGGCCAGCGGTGGATCATCTCAGTCAGATCAGAATACAAGCACTTTGTCGTTTTTTAGCTCGTCTAGGCCGTCGATGAAAAGGCAAAAACGGTAGTTCTGACTTATGCCGCTCCCTTGAAGGAGTGGGTCAAGACCTTGTAAGGCTTGGGAGGGCGAAATGTGCATTCGTTCACCGGCCGGCCAACGAGATGTATACACCGTCTCCCAGAATGAGGGAAGGGCATGGGGTCAGAGATCAGGATGAGCTGAGAGAACTCCATGGAGCAGCCCGAGATACAAGCCGGAAATGGATCTTTGTCGCTCGCTTCCAGAGTTCCAGAAGAAGAACTTGGCGCAGACCAGAGTCTTATCACCTACAAATATTCTTGTCAGATTGCTATTCCATTCGAAAGCTCAAAGAGGGGCAACTCACCCGCCCAAGTATCAAGTCGCTTTCGGCTCTCACCATGGCTGATTATCATCTTCATCAAAGTCGACTTTCCCGCTCCGAGCTTAGCCGAGAAGTGAAATACTCCACTGCCTGAAGACAGCCACTGCGTAAGCTTCTGCCGGATGCCTCGGCGCTCTTCGCAAGTGGGGAGGCATTTTGGTGACGAGATTTGATCTGGGCCATGTGAGATCTCTCTGGCAAGACGTGGGAAGTGGCCCTCGTTACCTTCTTTACAGATTACAAGCGCGTTCTCTTCCGCCAAGAGCAGACGTAACGTCGACCTCGAGGTTCATGTCCTCGATCACTCCAGCCCCGCTGTCGGATAAAAGCTCATGTTGGCGACCATTCAGGCAGTCGACGTTACATCTCTCATCAAAATTAGCGGCCAGTATCCATCGAAATGTCTTTCCATGAGCCTCGCAAATCGTGTCATGGCGGTGGTGCATCGTGTCGAATTCGAGAGCTCTGAGAATGGACCCCTGAGCAAGACGTTCAAGCGAACGCTCAGGTATGCGGACAAGCTTCTGGATGTCATCTTGTGTAAAGTCTCGAAGGCTACAGACCTCGGTACTAATTTGTAAACTCTCAATAGAGCCCTTGATCTCTTGGGGCCGAGCAGAGTTGTCTCTTGCATTTCCAACTATGATATTGAGTCTCGAGATGATTTTTTTCACTGTTCAGGAAAGTTAGCAAGAGTGGGTTATCTATGTTCAAAAGGAAGAACAAGCCTCATTATGTACATGAGCCAAGAGCCGATCTGGCTCTGGTAGGAGTTGAGTTTGGTCTGTAATAATTTTGAATCACTTTGATATTTTATCCCTTTCAAAACCGACTTGATTGCATGTATTCCGGAAAACGCCTTTTTGGATCGTATGTCATCAATAATAGTAAGAATATCCTCACAAACTTTGCAGCAGTCTTTTGCTAATGCGCAGAGGACCTTCTCGTCGTCATCGAGGCCCAAGGGATCCGGGGTCTGGAGATTGTCCGCGAAATGGCGTGTTTGCTCGGCAAGTCTCTGCAGATTGGCAACTTCTTCAGTGAGACCTGATGAGGATTTGTAGATTATGTTGGCTTCTCTAAGACCTTTGAGGCCAAAATCGACAAAGGCCAAAATGTTTGCCACAAGCCCGATGGCTGTCAGCGGATCCATCCTGTGTTGTCGGTAGCAACTCAAGACACTGCGGTGGTACGATACAAAGTGATGATCTTATTCTTGGTGGAACCCTTTCTTGGGAATGACTTCACAGAGAGGACATCTGTCTGAGCTTATATCCATTAATGTGGCTACATGTTGATGTCGTGGGATCGCAGCAGTGCTTGAATCAACGTTGGCCAACGATGATTGAGGGCCTCGGCCATTTTTTCTGGCGCAACCGCATGCAAGCCAGTACAATGATACATGAAACAGCATCGTCTTTTTCGATGGTGTAATAGACAACTAGACCCTACGACGTTCAGTCGTGTACCACTTTGTTATAAGAGAGAGAGAAAAAAAAAAAGGCTGACAGTCAACGTCATTTCGAATGTACGACTGGCTTTCTAGCACGACCAAATATTAGGTATCGAATTTCATTTGCGACTTCATTCATGATTGTGCAAGAACATCAGTTTGATCAACTTCCGCAAAATTCATGGGCTAGCTTGATGACCTGAAGAACAGTTCACATTATGAGATGCTTGTGATCCTTCCTAGTACCCTGCGGTGTGTTGACCGGTGAACCAGAGCTTAGACGATTCCGCCACGCCTTTCAAGAGCTTCGGGATTGGCTGGCATGGCTGGCAATAAGACTTCCCTGCTACTGCATCCTTCCGCTAATTCAATACGACGTTGCGATTGCGCTGGTGATGTGAGCTGCTCTCTAACTGGCCCAGCAATCATTGAATCGACAAGAAGACGACCTGCTAGCCTCATCACACCGCGGCAAAAAGGCTTCCGTGCAGTCGATCAGCCTTGATTTAGTGGATCGCGTTCCTCTCAGAGTTTAGTGATGGAGCGTTGGTCTGGCCTAGCTTGAGAATCTAAGCCACAGCAGACCCCTGCACCGTTGGATCGGACATTAAATACTCGGCTGTGTCGGCGGCGTCGACCCCGTCCGCAATCTTGCTGGGAACAGATTAATGTCTCTGTGGCCCCCCCGACTCATCGACCCCGTGTCCGTACGCCAAATCAATTCTTTTCACCCCGTGTCCGTAGCGATGCTGCTTCGTCCATGACCGTTTGGCTAACCATACCGAGGACTCCGAACCGCCTAGGCCCCTTCCCTTCCCTTCCCTTCCCTTCCCTTCCCTTCCCTTTCCCCTCCTCCGTGTTGCGCCGCCGCCGCCGCCGCCGCTGCCGCCCCTCCGTCAGCACGTATCCCGTTGTGCGTCTGCGTCATGGAGTCTCGCCAACGCAGTCCGACCCCGCTTTTGAAGACGTGTCGCACATGCGCCCACGCCAAAATCAAGTGCGATCGTTCCCAAGACTCCAACGTCTGCGATAGATGTCTCCGGCTGGGCAAAGATTGCACATATGCTGTGGCCCGCGGGAGGAAGCCGCCCGGGCCGCGTTCCAGGTAGTTCTCAGAAGTTTCCTTGTCCAACGTCGGGTGGTTGCCGCCGAAAACTGACGCGAGAGACGGCGCAAAAGGTCCAACAAGTTGCTGCAGGTTCCGGAGAGGCCGGCCCAACCCGCCCAACCTGTGACCGAAAGTCCTTCCGCCTCTGAAAGCCTTACGCCCGATCAAACCCGGACTCCTCCGCAGCTTGCTGCCTCATCTGGTAGTTCATCCACTCAACATCCCCGAGCCGGTGATGCTGGTCCAGCCGGTCGTGGCCTTGGCACCGGCGTTCATGACCCGTTCGAGGCCGGCCAGCTTTCTATCGACAAAGGCCAGGAGCTCCTTGAGAGGTTTCGCACCAAGTTGACACCTCACTTCCCATTCATCATCATCCCAGCATCAGAAAATGTGAGCTCTTTGAGACAGTCAAGGCCAGCCTTGTTGCTCGGCCTTCTTGCTGTCTCGTCATACGATGATGTCCGGCTGCAGCGAGCACTGGGTCAGATGTTCAACGACCTCATCGCGGTCCGCTTGGTGAAGGGTGACTTTGCCTGTCTCGACGTACTCCAGGGCCTCCTCGTCCATCTCGCCTGGTAATGCGAAACCACACTAGCCCTCCATGTCCCTGGCACTAACCTCGTCACAGGGCCCACTTCCAACCAAGGCCGAAGAGATACTCACAGCATCTTCATCTAGCTACGAGCATAGTGTCTGATCTGCGTTTCGATAGGCCAAAGAACCCGAAACGTTGGAACGTTGAGGGGATGAGCACTTCACAAGACTATGTCGACTCATTAGATGAACGTAGGACGTTTCTTGGAACGTATTATCTTTCTTCATGGTATGTCTGCCAAGTCAACAGTTCCTGCAGGCTCCCACGCTGGGCTCCCGGCTAATCTTCCAACCCTCGTAGCACGAGTATCGTGCTCCAGAAGCTTCGCATAGTCACCCTTTCGAGTTACATCACCGAAACTGCTGAGAAGCTAGCGGAGATCTCTGAGTACCCTACTGATCAGTACCTTCCGTACATCATCAGCCTACAGCGGTTAGCCGAAGATATTGATGACATTGTGAAGAATGAGTCGACATTAGATCCTATGCAGATTCAAGCTGCAGTATCAGAAGCTAAGGAAAGGGTCGACGTGTTCAAGGGCGGGCTGACCTTCGCTCTTGGCGATTGTCGTAAGTGGAATGTCCGCACGTACAAGCCTGAGCAGACTCCTAACCATTCATCGTAGCAATCTTGGTGCCTCAATTACACACAATTCAGCTCTGCCTGAACCAGCTGTCTCTACCAGAAACGCCTTTTGGTCTCAACAACCCGCAAAACGCCCCAATGCAGCGGTTCATTGCAGGTTTATCCGAGAGCATAGTATCGGCCAAATCGCTCGTTAGTGTCCTCCTCCATACGCCTCATGGACAAGAGGTCTACTTCCCGAACATAGTCTGGGTAATGCTGCATTGTGGCTTCACTCTAGCCGCACGGCTGGATCTGCTAGCTGCGGATCCCCGGGTAGGGTTCATGGCGGAGCACTTGAGGCAATTTGCAGACATTGCACACACCATCCGCCAGGTCGTGCTCAGGCTCGACGCCGCAAGTTCACCAGACCTTGATGACAGAGGCGACCGCGACAGTTTCTACCACTTTGCGATTCGTGCAAAACGGGTCGAGAAGTTTTACCTCCATGCTCAGAGTCAGGCTGCTGCTCAGCAAGCACAAGCCCAGCAGCAAGAAATTTCGCCCCATAGTATTCACGCCAGCCTACCAGCGTCTACCGCAGGATTCACAACCATGGGGACACCAAGCTCAGATTTTTCAAACCAAAACCCAAGCCTGGATTACACGGTTGCGTCTTCCATGTTCTCGCAAAACATGGTGCCGTCGGGCGGAAATGTCGCGTACCCGGACTTTTCTATGGCCAACACCGCGACACTGGTCTCGAACCCCGATTTCGTCATGGATACCCTCTCTTTCTTACCAGATTCTTTCATTCCTTTCAGAGGTTGGGGCAACGGCATGAGCAGCGAACACAGTGGCGGAGCACAGTTTTAGTGCGATCCTTTTGAAAATGAGAGGAAGCGGTAGCAATTTAATGGTTTTGAGTCCACGGTTGTGGCGGGGTCGGACACGGACTCGGATACGGATTTTGGACGTCCTACCCCTATTGGCAGTCGGAATCAAGGACTGCCAGAGCGAGCAGCATTTTGCAAGCGGAAGAAAACTAGTGTCAGTCCACGTGATCTTGAATAGAGGATCGGTGTATCTTCAGTCGTTGCTTCAATAATACTGCCTGAAATCGGTAGGCTAGAGACGTGTTGCGTGCGTGGCCTCCGTGTCCGTAGTCGAGTTGGTAACAGTCTACCTGCTGCAGCATGGGCAGTGGACGAGAGGGATTGAAGAATGGTATATAACAAGTCTGAAGTCCGCTGTGATGGTAGGAATGAAATCCATCATCGCCATCTCACATCGGAACAGCTTCTTGCTTCATTTAATACATCTTCTAGGTCATTCCCTCATCATGCGTCAAAACATGCTGTCTGTTGCTTTAGCAGTGGGCCCGCTCTCTTTTCTTCCAATGATTCTTGCAGGGAACCCAGTTTACCAGCCATGCCCTCTCTTGAAAGCTTATTATCCTATGCCAACCATCGACAAGAACGCTGAAGCTGTCAAATCCTTCACCAAAGGCTTCACGACGTTGTTCGACCAGCTTGTGAAAGCGGGCGGCTCCGAAGACTTTGGTGAGATCACACCCAATACCACTTCTTTCTCAGTGGTCTTGTTCTCGGGCTCAGATGGGGCCGAAGAGGACCCCGTGTTTTTTGAGTATCATTACGTAGCCCCCGAAGCCCCGCAGAACTCGACACTAAATTCCAACACGATGCTTCCTCTGGGTACTCTCACTCAACTGTTCACCGTCTACGCATGGCTTGTGGAGCTTGGGGATGAGCAATGGGGGAAGCCCATCACAGAGTATCTGCCAGAGCTCAACCGTGTTTCCAAGGGCGAGATGAAGGTTCAGTGGGATGATATCACTGTCGGGTCACTGGCAGGTCAGATGTCTGGACTGGCGAGAGAATGTGAGTTTGCTGAGAATGTGTGCCAGCATACTGACACACACTAATCGCTTCTTCTTAGCTTACAGTTGTGTTCTGAGCAAGTCTTGTGGTCGCGATGAGTTCATCGACAATTTCGGTAGTCAACCGCCACTTTTCCTACCTGACACTACGCCCATTATCTCAAACGCTGCTTTCCAGCTCCTCGCCCTGGCATTGGAGGCAAACAAACTTGAAGGTAGCGGAAACACGACATTCGACAGCATTCTGGCGACTGGTGTTTTTGGACCCCTCAACATGATGAACAGCGGTCTTCTATCATCACTGCAGGATGCTAAGGTGTTTGCTCGAGATCTGAACGTATCAGCTATCGGAGAACCAGCGTATGTGTCTCATTCTACTATAACTTACTCGCTCAAAACTCATCTCTAGCAGCGCTCTCTCAATGATTTCCACTACCTCGGACCTTGCACGCGCAGGTCACGCTATGCTCAGTTCCCGTCTCGTATCACCAGCCACCACTCGCCGCTGGCTGCAGCCCGTTGCCGATACATCAAACCTTCGCAACAGCGTCGGTAGGCCCTGGGAGATTTACCACGCTGGTCAATATGCGAACAGCTCCGTTCTCGATGTCTTCACCAAGACCGGCCTGATTGGACACTACGCGAGCTACTTTGGCTTAGCCCCTGACTTCAATGCCGGCTTCACCATCCTCGCGCACGATACTGAAGCAGCCCGCGGCCCGGATCTAAATGTTTACGCTGACATCGTCTCTCTGGCGATTGTGCAGCTCCAAAGGCTTGCCGCTACTGAGGCGACGGCGCGGTATGTTGGCACGTTTGGGGGATCTGAGGGCGTTGCCGCTTTCAATACCTCGCGTGACGGGCCTGGGCTGCTTGTTACGACCTTAGAAGCTGGAGAGATCAACCTCCGCGCCCAGATTGCAGAGTCTGCAGGCATCAAGCTGGAGGACCTGGACTTCCGTTTGTATCCAAGTAACGTTGGTACAAAGACCCAACACCAATTTGTCGCGGTTTTTCAAGACAAGAGTGCCCCAGTCGACATGGGCACGCCGACCTGCATTACTTGGCAGGACGTTGACTCTCTGGGGTCAAGTGTGGACGTTCGAGTGGTGTTCACAATTGATGCATTTGGCAAGGCTATCAATGTTACTCTGAACGGTGGTTCCCTGTCATTAGGTAGATCAGCTTGAGACATATGATGAGATTTTCTGGATTCTGTCCATGGTAATCTTTTACTCTATCGTTGACGCACCGGTCTTCTCCAAATATTTACAAGGTTTCCATTGAAACCGCATCCACGTCACTGAAATTTGACTCGAGAATACTCAGAAAAGCGAGGCTGTATGAGGATTGTGATGGCATCAAACTTCAGTATACCCTACTTACCTTAGGTCAACGAACAAAGCAAAGGGACACGGAGGAATATTGAGTCCATCCGAAATTGAAATTTGTCAACTCCTATCGATTCAGGTTGTTTACTGACTTGTCAACTCAGGGGCAGATTGCTGAGTGCTTATCTGGGGTTTTATAGTCTCGGGTAATCGGATCACTGATCAGTCCTGCCAGACTCGGAGGCGAAGTAGCGATCATGGCTCTTTGTGTGGCGTGTTCCGGTCCGGGGTGGATCCCGTCAATCTATTTCACCGGCGGACGCTTCCCGAAGTGGAAGGACATCGCCTTATTAGGCCCCGCATGTGTTTAGCCATAACCTTAACTCCTGGAATGGAAACTGCTTGCTCTGGGGAAGCTGGTCCTGTCATGTGAGGGAAGTCGGGAGCCGATTCATTCATTCATATAAGAACGACGATCGTTTCCTCCTTGACCAAAGTCAACCACGTCCTATTGACGTTCAAGTTATCTCTGCAGTCTTCCGCATCAAGATGCAGCTCACCCAACTTCTCCTCGCTGTCGTGTAAGTGCTGCGTCCGCGTGTGTACCTGTCCATGTGAGCTCTTCTAATACCAAACTCAACAATAGCCCGTTCATTGGTGTGTCACAAGCCATTCTTTGCTCATGCGATCGCAGCACAACTGCATCAATTACTTGCTGCCCGGATATTCAGAAGTGGAGTATGCCGTGTCTCTTCCAAAGCTGCTTACATTTGACTAACAGGTGATAGATGGCTATGAGTGTGAGCCAGCTGACCGTCAAGCCTACACCGATTGCTGTGCGGACCAATTCTCCACTACGACCTTCTGCAGAGATGGCAGTGTTTAAGCTAGTTGAAGATACGTACTTCATCTAATTGATATTCAGCTCCACATCAAATGGATTTACTACTCGAGCGTATCGTGTCAATTGATATACCGCTCTTGTCATGAGTGACACTTGTTTTCCAAAGCTTCGTTCCACTATGGCCCTCACGCATCTTCGTCCCACAGAGCATAATCCTCGAAGTAAACGTTATGGATTCGCTCCGCGTAATCGACCAAGACAGGGTAACCCTTTATGATCCCTTTGCTGTCCGGTGCCCTGTCACCAAGATTATTAGTCTCTTCTCCGCGCAGGAAATCATGCTAGATGACAGGACCTACGCTGCACACCCCAACCCTGAGGCAATGAAGCCGAAGACGGTTGCGTCCGCCTCAGAAGGATTTCTGCCGCCCAAGACCCAGAAAGGTGTTTGAAGATTAGGAGCTGTTAGGCGAGTCTCACTCAAAAGCGCATTAACATGCCCCCAAACATCCCGCCGGAATTCTGCAAGCTCTTCACTAGAGAAACGGCCAGTGCCTTGGCCGTAGAGGGTCCGAGTGACACCACGATAGGCAAGGAGACCAATAAGATTCTTTATTGGCCATGGGATCGCACCCATTACACCTGATCGCATGGTTTCGTAATTGTCTTGCCATCTCTCCGAGCTCTGTTATCGAGTATTTGTGAGTATGTTGGGAATAGCTCAAACAGCCATCTGCACTTACTTGGTAGAAGGCTAACTTGTCCTCGAGAAGGGCGCGAATGGCAGCGTCTTGGGCTCTGGCGATTGGTGAAAGCGGCTCGTTCAGGTCTGGACAAACATCATCATCGACGAGTCGTTGGATGATGAGACTGGTATCACTCAGAACGGTCGGCTGATCTTGATTGGTTTGGGTGATCTCGATGTATGGTATTTTACCACGAGGTGACTTGCTCATTGAACCTTGGTCGATGCGAAACCGAAGCTCAGCGAATCGAAGGCGCGCTTCAAGCTTCGTGACAAAAGGTGACCAGACATAGGAATTGGAAACTGGGAATCCTCGATATAGCACGATATGAAGCTGGCTTCTTACTGGCGTAGACATGGTGAACCTGGTATGACAAGATAGTTGATCAATAGTTCTGTCAGGTACGGAGAAGTTATGAAATGAGACGTGAGATAAGAATGATCAGTTTGGGTAAAAAGTGAACACGAGAATAACGCATAGATATACAGGTTTATTCCTTCGACGGTTCGCAATCCTTTTTCGCTTATTTCCCAGAATGAGGCTCGGCTGCCTAATCGGACCCGATTGAGTCGCCGCTGAAGTGCGGCACAGCGGCCGGCCGGACTACGGGGCGGGCCTGCGCCGTTAAGCCGTACTGCGTGCGTGATCATTACCCGCGCGGGTCGGGCACGCTTATGATAGCGAACTATGCCTAGATTGAATTAACGAGTAAAAAGAAAAGTGCAAAGTTATGACTCTTGGCCGTAATGTCACTTGAATCGATAGTGAGACTGCTCGGGAAAAGAGCACGCATTTGTCAAGCCTTCAAGCCGGAAGTCCGATCTATCCACTCAGGGGTGCATCCGGATGGCGACAAACCTTACACCCCGTCCATGCCCAAAGCTCGAAGATCCAAGTGCCAAGCCACGCACCAAATGGCAGCAAGCCTCTCCATGCTCCAATGCGATTAGGCAACTCGGATGATATCGAGTCGAGATGTAGGTTCTCATCAGCTATTTCGCTAGACTGACTTAACACAGCGCCTTCCAAATCAAGCGTTGACTCTTCAAGGAGTAGTGGACCAAAATTAGTGCTAAAAGTACATGGTTCCAGCGAAATTCACAAGTCATGTTCCTTCCTAGGATGATGCAACAGGTCCAAGTAAGATTTGTTACGGTTGGCAATACAAGTGCAAGTAGATCTGGAGCGATTTCAAAACAATATGTAGTATACACACGTGCTGCTAGATATCGCAATTTCGCATAATTGGGGCTCGCTGCGATGCGATGCACTAGAAAACAGGATACAGACTGAGTGCAAGAAGAATGGCTTGGCCGCAATGCTTGAAGATTAAGCAGCTTGAGACCTATCAGACTGCTTTGGCCATCTCTCTTATTCTTGTCGGCCAGAAATTTTCCATCATGTCAACCCATCGTGCAAATGATGGGCTTGAAGTATCACTCAAACAGCGGAAGAACCAATCATCTTCCTCCCCTGCCTGGATTCGCAGCTTGCTCTGTTCATGGGATTTGTCAACACGTCTTTCTTCTTTTGACTCTGAGGGGAACGTGGATCATGAATAATGCTGCTAATGCAGATAACTTACCCAGGAAGATACAGGATCAATGAAGAATTGGAAGACTTGACGTCGCTCATCCGAGTACATTGTCAGTACAGGGTCGACAGGTTTTCCCTCCTTGAGGATCAAGATAAGGGCGTCGCTGAGAGCGACGGATTCCATTAGACAATTGCTCAGACCCAAACCGCCAATAACCTGTATCATCAAGATTAGCTTCAACAGAACTGCTCAAATATTGGTCATGCCTAATCAGCTCCTACATTGTTCACGTGTGCGGCGTCGCCAGCTAAAAGACACCTCCCTCGCCTCAGGTTGGAGGCCAGGCGTTGGTGGATGGTGTATGTAGCTGCTCTATCGACCTTGTATGTCAAGGGTCGTGGTCCAGCCCAAGCGCGCTCATAATGGTGTGAAATGTATTCTTCAGAAAGAAGATCTTTCTCAGTCTTGGTCTTGAGCTCTTCGGGGTCAACCGCGAAAGTGAGTCTCCACTTTGTCACCTCACCTTTCACAGGTGGTGTAAGAGGGGTGATGATGGTGTAATGCACCGGCTCCATCAAGAGGGTTGTAGTGACGGGGCTATCTACGGTGTTTTCCAGCCAGACATCTGTCGCAATGAGCTTCTCGGGCCAAGTGTGTCCAGGAAAGGAGATGCCAAGTAGGGACCTAGTCTTGGACCTGCCTCCATCTGAACCCACGAGAAACGAAGCAACATGCTCCTCGATTTGCCCGGTATTGAGATCTTTGACTGCTATCGTAACGGCTCCGGATCCGTTGGTGCCATCATCGAGGATCGAGACCAGCTCTTTGTTGAACAGAATTTGAACACGTCCTGTCTCAGTCGCTTTTTCCATCAAGACTTTGGTGAGCTCAGGTTGCGCCATGTTAAGCATGCTGATTGCTGGAGGTCTGACTGGCGGGCCGGTTGAATCATGCTTCGGGTCTTTCGGGAATGACCCAACAATCTTTCCAGGTTTCTTCCCGCCTTCCTCATCAGAAACGGGAGGTAGACGGATGTCAAGGCCTGTACTTCGAAACCCGCCGCCTTTGATGATGGCATCCCAAATGCCGGCTTCTGCCAGAGCGAACTGAGGCTGAGGGTAAAACATACAAGCCCGAGGAAGCTGGGAGAGACCGCTGTCTTTCTCGACTATGGTGACGTTGACCCCTGCTTTGGCCAGACGCAAGGCAGCAAAAAGTCCTACAGGACCTGCGCCGACGACGAGGACATCAGGATTAAGTGGTAAAGAACCCATAGTGTTATGGATAGGAGAGGAGGAGTCAGTATGTGACGATACAGATAGACAGGCCACTCTTGGTGTAAAATACTGAGAAAGACTTGACTTATAGTAATTATTAAGGCCATGCACGCACATGTCTGTTGTTAGAGGCTTCAATAGTTCTTATAGCCCTGAGTTCAATACAGAAAGTCTTCAAGCCCGTATCTTTGCACACTCGTTTACATGGTCGAGCGATGATGTGAGGGCCAAGACTGGGTTACAGCTATTGCAACATGAGTACTGAATGCCTCCCTTGAGCAGTGCGATTATCCTGTACCGGATTTAGCTGATGGAAAAGAGATGCCGACTCACGCAACGAGGGTGCATGCCCAGGCCACACTTTCATCGCCGAAGTTGCATGTATTCGTCAGCGGACGGCGTGAAGGCCGCTCGGCATCGAAATAAGCCCCGAACTTCTCAAAGAAGAAGTTAGAAATCACCCCGGAAGCCGTAGTCTCGGCTGCAGATGGCCGGGGGGTTAAAGCGCCCCGGCCCGCTAGCCCAGCCGTTTATTGTTGCAGTTTTAGCAAACTTTATCTGGCCTCACTCGCTTGCTTATCTCGCACATATCTCGTCATCAGGGGTTTCGCCATCCTTGTGTCGCCAGGTAGGCAGCCAACCTTATTCCAGACCGCCCACATCCCGTAGATGCATGGGAGTCCTGAGAGTCGAGACTATCTCCCTGGCACCTTTGTGTGTTCGCAACAGCCAAGGTCAAAGAGGCTGGTTAGATTTATAAGCTGTCTTCGGCAATGCCATACGGCAGATCTATTTCTGTATGATATGCTACAATTGAGCAGATATGGCTGGTCAAAATTTACACGTACGGATGAGTGCACCTCGGTTTCCTATGGCGCCGTCCCACATCATACAGTTGCTTAACGATCTATCTACTTTAATTTGAGGAATAGGTCTCGACATGAGTTAGAATGACAACCTATCTATAATCAAAGAGCAAGCGAGTTTTCTAAGAATCACGCACAGGAAATACGGCCTGCGCAATGATGAAACTGAATGTGGTGAGCCTGCGATTTGGTGTAAGGTATTACAAGATAATACAAGCCCTGTCGTAACGGAGGCCTTCAGAATGTACTGGCATAAAGTTGGCACAAAGCGAATGCGAAAGGTTAATTTCTTTCAAGTACAACTTCCACTAGCTAGCCAAGAGCCAAGGGACTCAATGATCCATTCCCAAATTACCTTACCTCAAGCCCATGAACGGTCGTAAAGCAGCCAACTACCAACCCCAATAATAGTCCAGCGGAAGAGCGCACCGGTTCCCGAGTCACTGCCGACCCGAAGAACAGACCCCACCAAAGACTTTAGCCCAAAAATTTGCCTTCCATCGCGGTCGAAATCGGGCTTCACGTCGCCCAACCACTGGGACATTTTCAGCTCTGACTCCAAGTATGGCATATAGCGAACGCGGAAGATCTTATCAGCCCAACCAGGGGTCTCGGCGACAGTGCGACGATGCGTGAAGCAGTCAAAGGAAGCTTTGCCGCGGTAAGATCCGTTACCAGAGGTTCCCACGCCACCGAAGGGGAAAGTGTGAACTGCGGCATGCATGAAGGCGTCGTTGAGAGTTGCGCCGCCAGATGTAACACCAGAAAGCACTTTGTTGTCCGCCAAGTATTAGCATCAACCACGAGTGGTTTTTAGACTATCGGATTTCATACCTTTCTCATTTTCGGCCTGGCTGCCAAAAGCCATAAGGGCAAGGGGAGTCGAATCGGTCGCATTCGCCACCGCAATCGCATCGTCGATGTTGTCATAGGGTAAAATGGCCCAAATGGGCCCGAACGATTCCTCCTGAATCATAACGTCATCTTCGCTCTCCACGAGAACTGCCGTCGGAGCAATATAGAGATCATCACGGTCTGTTTCTCCGCCTAGAACGATTTGACCACGCGTGCTGTCTAGCATCCTCTTCATGCGATCGAAGTGCTGAGAATTGATAATGCGGCAGAAATCGGGGCTTTCTCTCGCGCCTTTCGGGAAGAAGTTGATGTAGGATTCTTGGAGAAAACTGATGAAAGGTTTCACCAGGGCTCTCTCAATTAGGACATAGTTGTGCGAGACACACACTTGCCCGGCATTGAGCGTCTTCCCCCACAGAAGCCTCCTTGCAGCAAGACGAAGATCTGCGTGACTCGTCACGAATGCCGGATTCTTGCCGCCGAGCTCCAGACAAACCGGAGTAAGTGTTTCTGCAGCTTTCTTGGAAATGATCTTGGCCACGTTGACTCCGCCTGTGTAGAGGATCTTATTCCACTTCTCATTGAGCAGAGCAGTTGTCTCTGGAATAGCGCCATTGACGATCCTGTACGAGTCAGGATCCAGATAGTCCTTGATGATACGCGTGAGGACCACAGCAGTTGCTGGTGCATTTTCAGAGGGCTTTACAACTGCGGTACAACCTGCAGCTATTGCGCCAATGAGAGGGCAAATATTGAGCTGCACGGGGAAATTGTAAGTGCCGATGATAAGAACCGTGCCAAGGGGCTCCTTTCTGATCCTTGGTCTAAGAAGAGAGAACGGCAAAGTGACGTCAATGTTTTTGTCGTCCTTGACCCAAGCCTTCAGATTTTGAATGGCAAACATGCAGTCGGAGATGCTCCAATCGATATCTGAAACGTGCGCATCATGAACTGGTCGGTTCAAGTCGCACTTCAAAGAATCTCGAAGTAGGTCGATGTTGTCCTTCAGGCCCCAATATAGCTTTCGGAGCTGGGTCAGACGAAACTCGACATCTTTGGTTTTCTGGGATTTGAAAGTGGCTTGAACCACCTTCACGGCGGTTGATATATCTTCGAGCGTGGTTGATTCAAAGGAAGGGATGCTTGAAGATGCATGTGGTTGCTTATGCGCCATGACGCCGGTAGTCCGAAGATGGTGGAGATGGAAGTAACAACGTATCAATAGAAGTAAAAGTTACAAGACGATTTAGATATTTGATGATCGAGATGTCCTTTTTAGGGAGGTTTTGGAACTTCATTGGGGCAAACTTGAGCGCTAATATTGAAAATGATTCGACATCGATAAGAGCCATCAGTCTATCCGCGCCGTCCAGCTGACAAATGCAACAGTCAAATGCGTAGCACAGGAAAGAGCCCATTCTTCAAGAGAACTATCTGATTACAAACCACATTGCTGATTCAATCTGGGAATTTGAAAGGATGACATAGCTTCCACTAGGATTCAACTTCGACTCGTTACCGTAGTGTGTGCCAAGTATGTTCATGTCTTTGATCTGGCGTGACTATCTTCTCAAGATCCACTCACTCCCAAGTAAGAAGGTCAAATACTATATTGATGGGCCTCGGAGTCGAAAGATGCTGGCGAGCCGGCACTCTGCCGACACAGGAGCGCCAAGCTTTCGTGGGGACAGCTCAGCTACTTGCATTAGACACCATGGATTAGACATCTCTCAGGCGATACCTACGTCGGACCCCTGAATGTTGTGGCCAGCCGCATAAACCTTATTTTCTTTTCACTATTCGGTTCTTACCCACGGCAAAATACAAATGCGGCTTATTTTTCTTGGCGACGGATGTTATCGATTTAGGTAAGTAGGTAGTTACAAAGGTGTGACACTAGTATTACTTGTGAACTTGGAATGATGACACCCTTGGTTGACAATTCACCAACAGAAACGACCAGCGGAAATTTACCTAGGCTCAAAGAGCCTCTCTGTATCAATTTGTCTCCGATTCAGAGATGCAAGTTGACGATGAATCCCAGAGCTCGACAACGGCGGACATCGTCCAGTTTTCTGATGAAGCGAAACCTCCAGAGAACGGTCAAGAAGCCAGTGAATGGAAATGGGAGGATGACTCGTCCAACCCCTACAATTGGCCGCAATGGAAGAAGAATTTACAGTTGGCAATGATTTCTATCGTTGGATTTTCCTGGTAAGCCTGTTTCGCTATTTCGAATCGGCGCCTCTCTGCACAATTCGAGTCGCTAATTCTTTTCTGTAGCTCAGTAGGAACCTCAATCGTCAGTCCAGCTCGATCACAATTTGTAGAAGAGTTCAATATTTCGAGTACGGCTGCATTCCTCCCGCTATCTCTATACGTCCTGGCCCTCGGCTTGGGTCCTGTACTCGGCGGACCGTTGTCGGAAACAGCTGGCAGACAAGCTGTTCACATCATTGCCGTAGTCTTTGGAGGGCTGTTTGCATTAGGTTCTGGCCTCACCCATAGTTTCCCTGGACTGTGTGTGATGAGATTCCTGTCAGGGTTCTTCTATGGACCCGTCTTGGCTATTGGTTCTGGCGTTTTGAACGAGACCTATCTGCCTGTTGAGCGTGGCCTACCGTCAACAATCTTTATTTTGAGTCCATTTCTCGGACCTGGTCTTGGGTAAGAGAAAATATTAAAGGTGCGAGCCTGGAGTAAATATCGCTGATTACATATCCAGCCCAGTCCTGGGGTCGTTTCTTGTTGACAGGAAAGGCTGGCGATGGACGCAGTACACTCTGGTGTTCTTCTCAGTCTTCTCTTTGATCTGGCTATTTCTGTCTGGAGAGTCCTATCACCCTGTTCTGTTGCGCCGTCGCCGAAGGCAACTTGGCCTCATCGAACTGAGATCGACTGCGA